CAGAGGACACATATAATTGTCTTCTCCAAGCTAATGTTGGAAAAAGAGATTGTTTGTGCGTATCACCAAAGAAAGCGTGGACGGTGCGCCGTCTCTCACATTTTCCTTGATAAAATGATGCACACCATGCTGCTGCCATCTCCATCACCTTCAATTTGATTCTTCATCGGTCTCACGTATAAAAAATATCGGTGTCATTGGATAAAAAAAATCACATAGTCCAGGCAAATACTCCCACCGTTTTTATAATTTTCATATTATAAGTCGTTTAATTTTTTTAGCAAACCTTATTAAGTTTGATCAAGTTTATAGAAAAATTTAACAATATTTGAAATATGAAATTAGTTTTATTGAATTTAATATTGAATATAGTTTGATAATATATTTATTATGCTTTCAAAATAGTATTAGATTTTTCTATAAACTCGATCAGACTTAGAGAAGTTTGACAAAGAATAAAATTAAACGACTTGTAATATAAAACGGTGGCAGTATATATATATATATATATATATATATATATATATATATATATATATATATATATATATATATATATCTCGCGTCAGAAGCATCGTGACCCGCTGAGGTCTAAAGTGGCTCGGGTCCTAGGTCTGCCCTCAAGCACATTGCTAAGATATAACATTTTGTTGCTAGCAGAGGTCACAATTTTTCTTCAGTTTCTTTTCTTGGAGGGTACGTATACATGCAATTCATGTCTTGAAAATGTTGTATTGCCATCAGAGAGGGAAAGGTTTTGAGCAAACACGTCTGCAGGCTAATTTACCATCCTTATCACCAGATTAATTAATAATGGCTGATAACTGCCATATTCCACACCTTAATTCCGTTCTAGCATCAGCAGTGTTCATATATATAGGCGGTGCCGGGTATCGATGGGTAACTGCAAGATTTTGGCAAATTGGGTGGAGAAAATGCATATCATCATATCCAATTGGGTATAGTATCATGGGTACATGTTTATCTACTAGTAGAGTTCAAATCCTAGTGTCCACAAATATATCTTAGTGCATTTTTAGTTGAAGTTATATATAGTCTATTAAGAAACAGCACCCCCAACCAGCTAAAATTCCCAATTAAAAATGATAATTGAGTATGGAATGGTTAGTTGTCTATACCCAATTAATCAGCTAGTAATTCCCAAAAATGGAAAAAAAGAAACAGGAATAGGTTTGTTGCCTCTGATCAAGGACTCTAACCTCATATATATAACGAACAACAATGATTAAGCTAAGCACCGGCCTGGAGTAAGTTATCGATTAGTGGAACGCCTTGCCAGCTCAGTGTTAATTTGTCTCTGCATAAATTAGCATATATATAAGCTAGTTAATTAGCTAGATTTTTACTTTTTCTTTTCTCTTATTGGAAGTGTTCTCTGGCGTCCAGGCACAATGCTACCGCGGTTGCCTGGTTCATTCTTGCCCAAGATTGATTAGCCTTTAATTGGATTAGTTTCTTCCAATTTGATAGAGTTAATTGGTCATCTTAAATTATTTTTTTTTCGATTGAATATGACTCTCGTCGTGATGTTTCAGTGTATATTAATTAGTCAGACTGATGAACGGAAAGCGAATGAAGGATATAATCGTGCCGAATTGGAAATGTGCATGCATTTATTTTGTGGAATTTTGGTGAATTTTGTGGGGGCAAAATTGCGACTGATGGATGCATTGTGGATGGGAAAGCAAGGCCAGCTGTTCAAAAATAAATAAATAAAACTGAACATGCAAACAAGTAAATGCAGTTATGTAGGTGTGACGATAACTCGAAACTGTATTAAAGACGAGGCTTATCAAAATCAGCTCGATTTTAACGCGATTGATAATTTGATATATTTAATCAACTGTAAAATTAAAGGTGTTTTTGATTATTATTCTGTGATGAATAATTGGGCATTGGAGATTATTGGTTTTGTTATTTGGAATTTATTTACGAAGTGGTTTTAGAGATGATTGGATTTACAGGTGAATCGCAGGTTCATTATTTCATGTGACCGGTCAGACCGGGCAGTGTGTGCCGGTCAGACCGGCGGTGATCGAGCGGTCGGACCGGCCAGCCCGCGGTCTGACCGGCCAACGCTGTGTCGGTTTCGATTTCTGGTTGTTTGTTTGGATATCCGTGATTATTTCATGATTATGACTTCTAGATGGATACTATACGTATGTAATACTGTTGTTTGCTACTAATGAGTCAAGTTGGAGATAGCTTGGTCTCGGAATATGGTTTCTTTGTTTGTTCCATGTGTAGGTGACTCGATGCCTTGGGAGAGTATTTGCGGTGATGGGCCGGGAGTCGGCTTGGGAATAAGACGACGTCCGTGGTGGTCAGAGATCATGCGGGATACTAAGGCTAGAGTTGATGCACGTGGTTGATGAAGATTCCATATGGCATACAATGGAGGTATTGTGTGCGTATGGGATGCGGAGTCGAATTTGGAAGGAGTCCAATTTTGGTACGATTGGTTATGTAAAGTTTCTTTCTTGTACTAGAGGGTTTCCTAAGGTGTTTAGGACTCTTAGTATGAGTTTGGTTCGTGGCTTTAGGTTGCCTACCTCATGTATAAATAGAGGGGGAACATGAGGCTTCCCGGTATCGCTTTGGAGAGCAATTGAGTTGAATTTTGAATTAGGGTTTCAAGTTTGGTCGAAATTTTTGTGAGTGCTGTTGGTGCACTTTGTAAATACAAAGAGAATCAATAAAGTCGTCATCTATTTTAAGAGTTCTTCGATTTGTGTTTCATCGAGTTTAGGTGGTCCAACTGGCAATATACCGGCGGTCAGACCGGCGGCAAGCGGCGGTCAGACCGGCGGCATACTGGCGGTCCGACCGGCGGCGACGACAGGCGCGGCAGGCGACATCGGCGGTCAGACTGGCAGATCAATGTCGGTCAGACCGACTTCCGTCGATTTCGAGGGTAACTTTTATTTCCGCTAAAAGTTTTTGGTTTTTGGTATACCAACCATTCACCCCCCTCTGGTTGGCTTAGTTTTTGTGATTCGATTCTACATCAACTAAGAGCTCAACGAGTACTCAATTTTAAATGTTAGCAGTAGTTTTTTAAAAATAATTTTGGGGTATTTTTTCTATCTCTAACACTTATCAGTTTTTTAACTGAAAAAAAATAGAATTATAAAGTTTAAATCTAAAAATAATTTTTAAAAGTATCTTTGGCTTATAGGTAAAAAAAAATTGCCTCACATATATACATCGTAAGACGAAAATATCAAATTTGGATTGATTGGACCACCGATGATGGACATCTGATCACGAGAGTAGCATAGTGCTCGGACTGATATATATATATATATATATATATATATATATATATATAACCACTTGTACAATACGCCAAAGAGGCCTCTATGGAGATGAGAGTAGCATGAGAAATGCAGATATATATATGCAACCATTACGTGGATTTTGTATCGATAAGATGAGATCTTTTTCTTTAATTTGGAGATTGCATTATTAATTTTGATGCAAGTACGTACTTATACTAGATGGAATATTGGCAAATTAAGATGATGGAAGGTCTCCGGCCGGCCGGCCGGCTAGCCGTCCTCCACCGACCCGACCGTGGGTGGGCGGCGCCGCCGCGTTGGCAGAGGCAACGGCCGGTGCAAATTGCCACTATTCTTTCATTTCTCCTCTTCTTCAATTCCAAACTCCAGTTTTTACTAGTGCCAAGTGGTGGTACAACTGACAGGCTGACTTGTGCTGTAAAATGTACTGCAAAAGTTGGTCAATGCTGCGTGTGAACTGTTAGACCCGTCACTAAAACAAAAAAACTTAGAGCTTGTTTCACTTAATTAATCTCATCGGGAAATTATGCTCCATTTATTCAGATTATGGAACAGTTTATTACAGCTATTTTTTACTTAATTACAGAGATAAATTAAATATATTGAGAAATACTAAACTTTAAAAATTCTTATAATCGGTGGTCTATGTAATACAGTGAAAGAAAAAAAATATTTTTTAAGGGAATTTATTTGCATAAAGATATATTCGATATTACTCTGGGCACTGATTTTCTCTAATACACCAAAAAATAGAAAATGTTATTTGTAAGAATAATTTCGGTAGCAGTCAAAAGTAAGGATGAACAATAAATGTGGTGAAGGAAAACTCCACTGCTAAATCTAATTTCACGATCGAATTCTGAAATTCAAAATGATATATAGAAATGTTAGAAACAGCGCCAAGCGTCTTCTAAATCTCCCAGGCGCTTAAAACTTAGCTTGATAAAATAAATCCTTAAAAGTTTCATGCTTTACGCTCAATACACCCACCCAACTAATTTTCAATTATAGGAGCCTGCCCATTGCAAAGCCCAGGTTGTATATTACTAATAACAGAAAAATATAAGAGAGAACTGATAAATAAGAGTAAACAAACTAAAGAGAGGAAAAGAGAGAAAAAAATAAAGAGAATAAAGGAAAATTGAGGCAAACAATAAAAATGACGAGGGCATAAGAAAAGAAGTAAAAGTAGAAATAAAATAAAATGAGAGAGAACAGAAAAGAAATAAAATAAAATAGAGAGATTACATATTAATAATAAAAAAAAAAGAGGGACTTGAATGAAGAAAAGGAGAGAGCATAGACATAAAAAGAAAGAGAGGGGGAAGGAGAGAAAAGAAATAATGAGAATAATAGAAAATTGAAGAAAAAATAAAAGTAAAGAAACACAAGCAAAGAAGTAAAAACACAAATAAAAAGAGAGAGAACAGAAAAGAAAGAGAGGGAATTGAAAAAGAAGAAGAAAAATAAAAATTAGTAAAAAGAGGAATAGAGGCGTCAGTGTCCAAGTCCACTGAGCTCTGCTCTTCTCTCCGGCGAATCCACCACGTGGTCTCCTCTCCCAACTTCACCTCCTCCTCTTCCCCCCTCCTCCCTCTCCTCCTCCTCCCCTGCATCCACCTCCCCTCCCCCTTCCCGCCGCTGTCTCCTTCCTCCCCCAAACTCTATATATACCCTCCCCCCTCCTCTCCTCCTCTCCTCATCTCATCACCCACCTCCTCTTCTCCCGCCAACTCCAGCTCTCACCTCTCCTTTTCAAGAATCCATCCAAGAATCGATCGAGCACCTTGTTCTGCTCTTGTAGGACAGCCATGCCGACCACCTTCACGCCCAATTCCCCCGCCTCCTCGTGTTCCATACACCACCGCGCCTCCCCGTCGAGGGGTGCCCGCAATTCGGTGCGGTTCACGCGCCCGCGCGCCGCCGCCGCGGCGACGAACTCGGTGCTCAGCGCGCCGTCGTCCGTGCCGCCCGCGTACGTGCCGCCGCCGCCGCCGCCGCCGACCAAGATGTTCCCGGAGGCGGGCGACGCGGCGGCGGCCAAGGCTGCGGCGAGGAGGTGTGGCAAGAAGAAGGATGGGCTGAACTTCTTCCAGCGCGCGGCGGCGGTGGCGCTCGACGCGTTCGAGGAAGGGTTCATCACGAATGTGCTGGAGAGGCCGCACGCGCTGCCGCGGACGGCCGACCCGGCGGTGCAGATCGCCGGGAACTTCGCGCCGGTGGGGGAGCAGCCGCCGGTGCGGTCGCTCCCGGTGTCCGGCCGCATCCCGCCCTTCATCAATGGCGTCTACGCCCGCAACGGCGCCAACCCGCACTTCGAGCCCACCGCGGGCCACCACCTGTTCGACGGCGACGGCATGGTCCACGCCGTCCGCATCCGCAACGGCGCCGCCGAGTCCTACGCCTGCCGCTTCACCGAGACTGCGCGCCTCGGCCAGGAGCGCGCCCTCGGCCGCGCCGTCTTCCCCAAGGCCATCGGCGAGCTCCATGGCCACTCCGGCATCGCCCGCCTCGCCCTCTTCTACGCGCGGGGGCTCTGCGGCCTCGTCGACCCGTCGCACGGCACCGGCGTCGCCAACGCCGGCCTCGTCTACTTCAACGGCCGCCTCCTCGCCATGTCCGAGGACGACCTCCCGTACCAGGTCCGCGTCACCGCCGACGGCGACCTCGAGACGGTGGGGCGCTACGACTTCGACGGCCAGCTCGGCTGCGCCATGATCGCCCACCCCAAGCTCGACCCGGTCTCCGGCGAGCTCTTCGCCCTCAGCTACGACGTGATCAAGAAGCCATACCTGAAATACTTCTACTTCGACGCCGATGGCACCAAGTCACCCGACGTCGAGATCGAGCTTGAGCAGCCGACGATGATCCACGACTTCGCCATCACCGAGAACTTCGTGGTGGTACCCGACCACCAGGTGGTGTTCAAGCTCGGCGAGATGTTCCGCGGCGGCTCGCCGGTGGTGCTCGACAGGGAGAAGACGTCGCGGTTCGGCGTGCTCCCCAAGCACGCGACGAGCTCGTTGGAGATGGTGTGGGTCGACGTCCCCGACTGCTTCTGCTTCCACCTGTGGAATGCGTGGGAGGAGGCCGAGTCCGGCGAGGTGGTGGTGGTGGGATCCTGCATGACGCCCGCCGACTCCATCTTCAACGAGTCGGACGAACACCTCGAGAGCGTGCTCACCGAGATCCGCCTCAACACGCGCACCGGCGAGTCCACCCGCCGCGCCGTGCTGCCGCCGGCGGCGCAGGTGAACCTCGAGGTCGGCATGGTGAACCGCGCCATGCTCGGCCGGAAGACGAGGTACGCCTACCTCGCCGTCGCCGAGCCGTGGCCCAAGGTGTCCGGCTTCGCCAAGGTGGACCTCGCCACCGGCGAGCTCACCAAGTTCGAGTACGGCGAGGGCCGGTTCGGCGGCGAGCCGTGCTTCGTGCCCATGGGCGGCGCCGGCGCCGCCGCGTCCCCGGCGCGCGGCGAGGACGACGGCTACATCCTCTCCTTCGTCCGCGACGAGGCCGCGGGCACATCCGAGCTCCTCGTCGTGAACGCCGCCGACATGAGGCTGGAGGCCACCGTCCAGCTGCCGTCGCGCGTCCCCTACGGCTTCCACGGCACCTTCATCAACGCCGGCGAGCTCGCCACGCAGGCCTAGGCACCGGCCATCCATGGATTCTTGATTCCTTGGTTCATTCCAAAACACCTTCCAATCTTCTTGGAGAGGAGAAGAAGATGAAAAGAAAATTTGGAGGGAAAAGGCTTTACCAGAGGGCGCCATAGGCATACATAGGAGGTCCCCGGAGCCTGACCCCAACTCATACACAAACACATCATCATCATCATCAACCTTAATCTCTTGGTTCTTTTCTTGATTTTAATCACTGCATTAATCACACTAGTAAGTATAGCACATTAGTAGTAGTAGTAGAGTGATTAGGGAGAGACTGAGGGGTGGGGCCCAGCTTGAAGCTTTTGCTTTGCTTGTACAGACAGCCAAGGAGAGCTCAGCTGGTTTCTGCTTTGTCCCTCAGTGATAGGGATAGTTGCAGTGTTGTGTATACACAGCTGCTCTGCTTCTGTTCTGTTTCTGCTCTGTAAAACTCTCTTGTTATTTACTGAAGGTAAAACCACCCAGTTTTCTGCAAACTGTGGTGATGTTTGGTCACTAATCATGTATGCCTCAATCTCCAATTTCCTTCACTGTGTATATATATATTATATACTCTTCATTCATCACTGTATGATAATGATAATAATAATGATGATGATGATTGGTCCTATTTTCCTCCAAAATCTGAGAGTGAGTGTGTCTGCTTGTGGCATTTCTGTTGGCTTGCTGTTCCTGCTGAATTATGAGCAGAGAAATATTGGTGCCACATTGAAATGCATACTATGTCTTGCATTTTTTTTTCTCATATGTCTGAATGTCTGATCTCTCTGTGTGGGGCTGATCTTTGTTTTCTGGTGGTTGTGTTTGTGCCCTCTTCTTATCCTTTGTGGTACCAGAGTCTCTCTTTTTTCATCAGTTGCAGGTGGATTGATTGATTCAGGTGTGTCCTTTTCTTTTTTTTCATATTTGAGGAGTGATCAGCTGGCTGGAGACCTGCAGTGAATTTGGAGGTCAAATGTTAGGTGAATTCAGTTGAATTCCAGCAGTGTTCATGCTAATTTGGTACAAAGATGAGGCGATTTGTTGAATGCTCAGTACAAACAGTATGCAGATTTGGTCCACCCAAAATTTGCAGTATTTTACAGTCTTATGGTAAATTCTTTTTAACAGTCAATAAAACTCTGTTCACTTTTACAGTTACCAACTTACTGCATGTCTCCATGCTTCCAGCTATGGAACAGAGGCTAACTAATTAATTCTATCACCACAGTAATTCCCCTTTCTCTCACTGATGACACCCAGTAAATTATAATACTCTACTACCAATCCACTAATGGCCCCATAACAAAAAAATATAATAAACTAAAAACTCTGAACCCTGTACCACCCAGAGAAGTTGTATATAAAATACTAGGTAAAGTGCACACACTTTCAATGGAACATTGTTCTCTACCTGTCTCAATGGAGAGCCCACATAAACAGCAGCAGCAATCAGCCGTCCATTCTCTCCGGGTGGCTGCATTGCAAAACCATAATTAAACACTAATGGTGTCCATCAACTCAGCACACATTCTGCTGACGCCGTCGTCGACCTCTCGCCGCTGCTGCTGAATTCAGCTCTTGACTCGGCATCGCCATTGGCAGCACTGGCTGCTCCTGCAAAATTTTTTTCATCTTCTTCCTGTTCCAATCGTTTTCACAAACAATCAAGCAACTGGCTCTGGGAGGAAGAAGCTGTCTTGTTTCCTACTTGTGCATCAACCAGGCAGCTAAGAACATCAGCAGCAGAAGCAGCCTTTCACCTCCTTCCTGCATATTACCAACACAAGAACTTGAGTTGATCTTCTCAGCTGACCGCTTCAAAGATTCACTTGTTGCCAAGAAACAACAGGGACAACGCTGGTTAGTGATTGCAAGATTGTTACACTGACTTCTGTCCAAGGTCAGACCCACAATGGTTTATAATAATCAAACTCAGACCAACAGATGACAAGACACAGTATGCAGCTGACATTTAAAAGGGAAAGTAGTTAGGATCCTTGAGGTTCAGAGAATGCACTTAGTAGCACCAAAGAAGGTGTTCAATTTGGATCAGAAATTGTCAACCGGGTCAGAGATATACTCAGACCAACAAATGACACCCTACGCAGTTGACATTTAAAAGAGAAATTAGTTAGTATACATAAGTTTCAGAGAATGTACCAAAGATCAAAGATGGTGTTCAAAGTTGAATCAGAAAGTGTCAACCGGATCAGATACTCACCTCTAGAGGGTTCCAGACGGCGGCTATAGCTGACAAAGATATAGCTGCAAAACTGCAAAAAACAGAAAAACGGCAAAAAGAAAAAACATTCAGAGATTTTCACTCGAACTTTAACCGAAAAACTGCAAAAAAATATTCAGAGAAATACAAACATGTAACATGGCCATGGAATGGGCTGCGGTTGTTTTTCTAGTGCAGAAAACAGCTAAACGGGGAAGGTGACATGGGGGTAGGAAGATCCAGGAAACAACTTTTTCCCCATCGCTCTCGTTTCTTCTCGTTCCAGAATCTTCTCAGCGGCTGAAAACCATGGAACCAGGAGGAGCCTGAGGCTGACATCTTCCAATCTTCCTCTCCAAGCACCAGCAGAAAAGTACAGATTAGGTTGTTACTGTGAAAAGGTCTCACTTGACCGATTAAACCATCGTGATTGACCTATTTAGCGTCTGACATTACACGTGTATTTAAAGTATAAAAATATATAGTCAAAACGATATTCAGATAGCTTATTGACCATAATAGTACCACGATAGCCGGCGACTGATGAGACGGTTGACGATGTGATCACTAATTCTTCGGGGTGGCTCTAACCAGTGAAAAATTCCACTTCAGAAGATCACTAAACTGATTTTCGTAGAACAAATTTATTGTAGGAGTGCATTTTTATTTTATTCTAGAATAACTAGTTTTTCTCGATTTTTTTTTCAGGGAGTTCCATGTGAAAACTAATTAACCGATTCGATCTGCCTGCGTAACTGCTGACCTAATCTCGGATGCTTCTAGCTTTGTTCCTCTGCAGCCTGATGTTCTCTGTTTTTTCTTCTCTTCTTAATTTGTTTTTCTTGGGCACACTGAAACGTGTGCGTTAACGCTGTACAAGAAAATCACGGCGAATGTTGGCGATTTGACCGTGTGAAGAACCATGTGATTTTTGTGTTGCACGGATAGATGGGACAGATATATATATCGTCAGGGCACAACAAAAATCACAAATTAAAGGGAGTGAAAAGAAGTATATATATGCGTGTTCTTCAGTTTTTCAAAGCGAAAAAGGCTGAAAATTATGTGCAAAAATATCTGTACTATCTTGGCACGTTGGGGAATCATCAACCAAATGTTTGTGCGCAACAAAAAGAAATTGGGGTACTGTATTGTACCACTATAGTATTTGTGCGCACATTGCTCATGTGCAGAAAATCGGTAGGGAATGGCCAGGAAATGCAGTACTAATTTGACATGACCAAAAGATGTTATCGGTAAAAAAAAAGCAAACACGATGTGTCATCTCAATTTAAAACCGAGACTTTGAATAATAATTAATATCATGAAGAGAAACTTTTTTAATTAGCATCTCCCCTAAGGCATAAAGCTACCGGGTAACCAGAAATACCTATATTTCTTTACTTAATGTCACTACTAGAAATACATGTTTTATACATCGACACAATCTTTGACGTACTTCGCTTATCATAATATTTCAATTATATACTTATGCAACTTATTAAAATATACCATATGAAGCAAACATTTTTTAAAAATATATTAATATCATTTTCGCATATTAAATCCTAATACATAAATATTAATATAACGAATTAAAATTTTGATATTTGACTGCAGATATTTGGAAATATCATCCATTTGAGATTAGCTCATCATACGTCAGAGTGACGCATGCCTTGTTTCGTTCCAATCCACTCATCTAGCTAGCTACTCCCTCTGTCCACAAACACATTAAAACACTTTGAAAGGTATCGACATAGCCTCCAATATACTATCTAACCAATAAAACCTACAAACATAGGAAGATTAATTTAGAGTCGCGTATTATATGACAAAGTTTATATCACGATAAGTTTATTACCATCATTCTGATTTTTTTTTTGTTGATAGCCAAAATTAGAAAAAAAAAGTTTGACTTAACTAATTTAGCATATATTATTTGTCCCAAAAGTGATAATCATATTAACAAATTAAGGCCTGGTGCACACGTCTGGTCAGGCCAAGTCACCGATTTATCTACGAGTGACAGAGCTAGCTCTCGGTAGCGACAAAGGCAGCTAGCCACCCAGCAGCGCGTGGCTCACCGGCGGTCCGTACCGGCCGGCAGGTCAGCAAGAAAAGCGAGAAAATGTATGCACTCGCGGCCGGATTTGCGTGGCGCCGCAACGGTTTGGCGGTGGTCGCCGACGGCGACGGCTGGCCGGCCGGCCGCCTCTCAGTCGTCTCATCTCTCAGCTGCTGCTTGATAAATGCTTATTAGTGTCTCATCTTTTCGCTTATGCTTACACTAATCAGCCAAAATTTAAATTTTTAATTTAAATTTGGAGTTGATTTTGAGGTTTTTTTTATCAAAGTTTATTTTTCAACATTTGCTTTTAAATCGCTAAGAACATGTATATAAAAGTTTTATTCACAAATTACTTTTCCTTTGTAAATATGCCGATGGCTCCATTAGAGATCGATGCATAGATTTGCTCCCGCGCATGATGGTTATATATGTACATAGATGTATGTGTGTTGCCAGTTGTCAGACATGGACGGAGGCGATAGGGAGGTTTAGATTAATAGCATAATATAGTACTATATAGCATTGGCTGTGTGCCACAGCGATCGATGGACAGCGGTCGAGTTCCCTCGCCGGCAAGGTAGGCGTCGTCGTCGCAGCATGCAACTTGAGTAAGGGTTAACCACGACGGTTTCGTCCTCCACCAAAGGCTAGCTGCAACATGTTCGCTAAATTCTTGTTGAAAGCTCATGCGCTACTAGAAACATGTGCTAGCTATCCTTGAAAATCAAATCTCTTAGAGACGAAAGGGCACATGCATGCCAGGTTAATTCTTTCTAGCATTTCCACGAGCAACCCAAGTTTTTTTTTCTATGAATACCACAAGTCACCCACATGACATTATATGGTACTCAGAATATATTATGATTTCATTTAGCAAGTGTAACATATTACTTAATACTCCAGTTAATTAAGTTGAAAATGATGTACCTATCATTTTTTTTTGATGCAACGGCATTTTGATCAAGTTGGCATATCTATTTAAGGCTTAGATTGATTGATTTCTTAGATAAACTATAATGATCATGCATGTACTATGTTTCCACGTCATAGCAGCTAAAAACTGAACATTCAACCTTACCCTTTGCTATATACTACATTTGGCCCAAAATAAATGCAATCTACTGCAATTCAAAGTTCATTCTAAAATAATTATAATCCTATCATATTACTTATGGCATCAATCATATCCCCTTCAAAAATTTTCACGTCTTATTTACTCCCTCTCACTCTCTACCATCATTTTTTTCGGGGAACTCTCTACCATCACCTATTTACACCTTATTTTTCTA